ATTTCTGTCTCAACTCTAACTGTAGCTCTGCCATAAATCAAACTTCTAACATGTTCGTTGATTTGAGGACAGACGAAAGCTACTACATTAGTGAACGCAGTCTGTTGACGTTGGGAAATTTGTCGAAAATTTGCATTCGCCAAAAATTCTTCAGTCATGAATGAAAAAGCTGCATGTGGTGAGTACTGCGTTACACTGACAAACAATTCGCTATGTTACACTCATTCTTGTACAAGACAAACAAAAGTTACATTCGCGAAAAGAGAATAATGAAACGTGCATATTTTTGCGGCTGAAAGAGAATCTGATGGGTAAACAGATGAAATGAAAGTGTTATGTTTGTCTATCAGATTCTCGTTCAGTACGTACATATCCCAGTACATTTCAACTGTGCACGGCGTCAAAATTCGATCGCATCGAATTATACGGTTCATTTAATAATACCAGTTGGGCAAATTCTTTAGCGTATGCGTAACGTATGCGTATCGAAAGAGTCTTCAAGAGTATGTTCATAGTGACACTGTACATCTTGTTCCAGGGAATTATGAATACAGGCACAAAATAAACAACAAGGACTGGCTTATTAATAAAAATGAGAAGGTAAATAAAGGTAATAAAGTTCTCAGCAAAGACGGTTTTGTTCAACTCATTATTGATCTACACAACGCGCAAGACATCAACACGCAAGATAATCAAACGTTATCATGATGTTGCCATGATTCTCAACACGGATCATACAATGCACGATATCAAACTCATCGTCAACGATAAAGATCATTTTAAAGCCCATCGAGCAGTTCTTGCAGCAGCCTCAGATTACTCCAGAGCCACGTTTCAAAGTGGAATGACTGAGTCAACGTGCAATGTTGTTTCTTTGAACTCGATGATCCACAAGGTTTTCCATCTATGTTGAAATTTCTTTACACTGGCACGATAGCAACATCAATATTACCTTTTAGACAGATAGAGTCGTTATTGAAACTAGCTGATATGTATCAGATTCCAACGTTACTCAAAGTACTGTCGAATCTGACAACAACAACTATTGATGCAAATAAATGTTTACGCCTACTATTCATGCAGTAGTTTCTCAGTGATCGTTGGATAACGTTACGCAAGGAATGCATCAAAACAGCCGCGATCAACTTTCTGTATGTATGCCATCAGTCAGCCAGACGTTTTAGAAATTCCTTTTAACGTTCTGTCAGATATTATCGTTCGTTCAGATATATTAGTGCTCAATCAAAGCATGCTCTATTCAGCTTTGCACCGTTGGTCGATAACGACGTCACGGAATGACAGTGAGGATGACAGTGATACTGAAATATCAAAATACATGATGCCTGAACTTTATGCAAACTCCATCAGAAAATGTAACAATGTTTATAAGAATCCGTCAGCAATCATCTGCTACTTAACGGACGGTAGTGAACAATATACGACAATGGCAATAAGCGCAATCAACTCGTTGTTGAAGGTGACACCGCGTATAATGATCGGTCTCCTGGTGATGGAAGATGATATGAAAATGTTGATGATGAATAATATCGATCAAAAGTATCATTATCGAATCATATGTAAACAAACGTCTAAATCGCCGCTCATCAAAGACTGGAATCCAACGCAATATAAACTTGATATTATCAAGTTTTCACATGATGGCTTTCAAGAGGTGTACTGGATGGATTCGGACACAATTGTCTACAAAGATATGACATCAAGCTTGTACGCTTTTCGCTTGTTTACTCAAGTGTTCTATTTCATTCTCGATCATGTCATGTACCACAATTGTTTCATGAGAAAATGGCGTGAACAACATCGGGACACAATCTTACAACTATAGCTCCTGTATATTCTGCAGATTGAACACTGCTAATCAAACAAATGGTTCCATTGTTATCGATGGATTCTTTAATTGTTTGCTGCATTTTTACAGTCAAAACTATGATGTAGGCTATTAGTGGTATCTGACAAATTTATCATAAACATTCATTTATCCTGCATCACTAATTTTTTCAGGGATGGTGTGAAGGCTATCCAACTGCCTTAAAATTTAATTCTGATTCACTATTCATTTGAAAAAATGCTTCCTTTTAAAAAAAAAATATTCTACTTATAACAGAAACGTACACGGAACCACATTGATGTCGCCAAGTGTGCACACACACACGTTTTTCTTTCTCTATGTACTCACATAATACGAAGCATCAAAAACTATACGTTTTCTTTCTAGTCGCATCACAAACATATCGCTGTTGCAAGTGATCATATCATAGAGGTTTTCCTTTGTTCGAGACGTGAATTGTTAGTTTATTACATTGTATCTAATGGGGCCTTGTTCGTATAATGTATCGCCAATATACTGTTGTTTGCTCAAATTTGTAATCAATTGACTGTCTCAGAAGTGGATATAAATCTTCCCAATATTGACGAGAGAGCCAGTATTTTGGTTAACAATTTCGAATATTTCTGTCGTTGCGTATCGTTGTGAAATGCGATAAAAATATGTCGATTTTTATTACGATATGCTGTATTTAGATTGGTGTAAGGGACATTTGCAGTGTCTAAAAGTTCTTTAATATTATGAAATGAAAATCGATAATCAAGATCGTTTAACACTATTGTCCGTTTAAAAAATGAATAACCCATGGGTGATTCTTTCGGAAACGTACCACATTTACATCGACTTTATCCGGATTGTTCGAGAGTAACAGGACTAGTACAACTTGAGCTCCTGATGACGAATATCACGT